GAGGACAGTGGAGAAGTGAGCGAGGACAGGACCCCCAGAGGGGTCAGCCAGGGAGACAGCAACCGGCCGACCAAGCGGCGTGAGTGTGGTGCGGTCCCGAAAGAAGGAGCGAGAAGCCCCAGAGTCAAGTGTAAAGGTGAGGGAGGCCGAAGCCAACGCGGTACCTGAGAGCGCAGCCTCACCCGCACCTGAGGAAGCAGACTCACTAGCACCTAGAGCAGCAGCCGCACCTGTACCTGGAGCAGGAGACTCACTAGCACCCAGAGCAGCAGCCTCACCAGTAGCTAGAGCAGCAGGTCCTATACCTGGGTCAGGCGGGACGCACAGGTGACCGGCATGGTCAGCACTAGTAGGGAATGCATACATGGCAGTGAGAATAGCATCATAGTCAAGAGCATATATATCTACCCTCTGCCTAAGCAACTCCACCCAGTCGGGAAGCTCAGCCTCGTCGCCAAACACGGTACGCCAGGCGTCGTTCAGACGGGCGAAGCAGCGGGACTGTGTATGACTACGTGTCCCACAAGGCTGACCAGTCCGAGTACCAGTGCGAATCACGTAAGAGCAGCGAACAGCACTGAGAGACCCTCCACTCTGAGCGTACCACTCACGAAGCTGGCGAGGCGTGAGAGACACGCGAGAGGGTCGCGGGAGCTGCATCTGGCCGCCACCACGAGTAGAAGCAGCAGGAGTGGAAGTAGGAGTAGCGACGCCACCCCTACAGCCCCAACCAGCGTACCACTCACGCAGCTGCTGGGGCGTGAGGGACTCACGCAGGCGTCGCTGGGGCTGCATCTGGCTCCGCAAGTAGAAGCAGGAGCAGGACTAGCAGCAGGAAGGCAGGCAGCCAGGCAAGCCAAAAGGCAGGCAGGCAGGCAAGCAGGCGACGCGCAGCGTGCTAGCAGGGCAAGAGCTCACCAGTGGTGGGAAGAGTAGGCTCGGCGACTCAGCGGCTCGGCAGCTCGGCGGCTCGGCGGCTCGGGCGACTCGGGCGGCTCGGCGGCAAGGCGGCAGGGCGGCTCGGCAGCAACTGCAGCTCAGCGACCCGGTGGCTCGGCGGCAGGGCGGCTCGGCTGCTGGAGGTGAGCGATGAAGGAGGAGGAGAAGCAGGGGAGGCCACACACCTGCCACCCCTCCGCAAGCGGCCCCCTCAGGTCGCCTCGACAGGCGACGGGAAAAGGGGGGGTGGGTGGTGGGGGCCGGTAGGTGCAGCGGCGGGGCCAGCAGGTGCAGTTGCGGGGCCGGTAGAAGGGGACGGCAGCCTGGGCGGTCGTGGGCGGCTCACGCTGGGCGGGTGCACGGGCGGCTCGGCGGGCGGCGTACAGGCAGCTCACGGGCGGCTGCGACGGGCGGCTCGCGGGCGTCGGGCGCTAGGGCGCTGGGGCGACGACGGGCGGCGCTCAGGCGTCAGGGCGGGCGGTCGTCAGAGCGCTAGGGCGGGCGGCGCTCAGGCGTCAGGGCGGGCGGCCGTCAGGGCGCTAGGGCGGGCGGCGCTCAGGCGTCAGGGCGGGCGGCCGTCAGGGCGCAAGGGCGGGCGGCGCTCGGGCGCTAGGGCGAGCGGCGCACGGGCGCTAGGGCGGGCGGCCGTCAGGGCGCTAGGGCGGGCTGCGCTCGGGCGCTAGGGCGGGCGGCGCTCGGGTGCTAGGGCGGGCGGCCGACAGGGCGCTAGGGCGGGCGGCCGTCAGGGCGCTAGGGCGAGCGGCGCACGGGCGCTAGGGCGGGCGGCCGTCAGGGCGCTAGGGCGGGCGGCGTTCGGGCGCTAGGGCGGGCGGCGCTCGGGCGCTAGGGCGGGCGGCCGTCAGGGCGCTAGGGCGGGCGGCCGTCAGGGCGCTAGGGCGGGCGGCGTTAGGGCGCTAGAGCGGGCGGCCGTCAGGGCACTAGGGCGGGCGGCCGTCAGGGCGCAAGGGCGGCGGCGCTCGGGCGCTAGGGCGGGCGGCCTTCAGAGCACTAGGGCAGATCGAAAAAAAAAAAAAAGAAGTACTAGGGCCCGGAGCGCGCTCCGGGCAGGAAAAAAAAGGTTAAGAGGTAGCGGTGGTGGGCCCTACGAACAGTTCCCACAGGGGAACCTGCTCGATACCATGTGAGAATAAGCGAACAGGAATGGATGAACTAGCAGTGAAATGAGTACAAGTAGGAAACCCTAGAATTGTGTACCCCCTATAGGCTAACCCACTGTAGCCTACACAAGCAGAACATATATAACATTCTACTGGCTGAACGATCATGGCTGAGATGTGATCACCCTATTTATATTTTGATAGTTTATTGCTTGCTAGCTTCATATCTTCTCAGAAATCTCAGACAAGTATTTAGGATTCGTCTAAAAAGCTAGACAATGTTACAGCTTTTGTCTGACAATCACACAAGGAGCCAGGACCCGGTCTTGACATCAGACGGGTCATTTTACTAAGTTAGCCCTGATTGTGGCCGATTTTTTTGGGTTCCCGATTTTACACGCCCTCTGAGGGCTTACTTTATCAGAAATTTTTTGTCTGAATTTCTTGTTTTTGAACACATTTTTAATGGTTCATGTGATGCCGTAGACATGCTGTTTACTGTCGTCTGACTTTTAAGAGCGACTTTTTTTAGTCGTCTGATTTTTCAGATAGCCTTATACAATTCGTCTGAGACTGCAGACATCGAGTTTCTTTTCGTCTGAAACAGACAATTTCCCCCACCTGGCCAGTTGCCCACCTGGCTAGTTGGCCACATGGCTTGTTGCCCTATGTTACGGACGAGACTTGCCACCCGCCGCGTCACCGTAATGCCACCGCCAGGCTGTACTTTGCTTTTGGTCAGTGACAACACCGCACGTCACTGCGCCGCAGTCACCCCGCTGGCACGAATCTTGCCAGGTCGTTTGGCATATTCGTGCCAGCGCATGGCAGAAGGCTGCATTTGCAACACCGACAGCCCTCAGTGCGCGTCGAGTCAGCGAGAGATGGATGGCATGGCTGCTTCAAGCAGGGAAGGGGACGTCCATGCATGCGGCTCGGTTCGGACGGTCCCCCCTCACTCCCCACAGCACATGTGTCCTTCATCTTACCCTCGTGTGCCAGAGCCAGTCAGTGCCTAGTTCCAACGAGATGGCCGTAGACTCTCGTACAGAGGCCCCTCCAGCATCCACTCTGCATGCTTCACCTCCTTCCAGTCCGTTGCCACGCCCACGCACTGGCTTGGATTTCCTTACAGGGGGGGGGGAGTTCACCCCTACTCCAGTCTCAGCTGCTCCTATTGCTCCTTCGGCCTGTCAGAATGACAAACTCGATTCTCCCGAGCAGCCTTACCCTTTCGCTGAGATGGATGCCAAGCCGCTCATACCATTTTCACCCATGCGGTCACCGAGCTCAACAAGCCACCCTGGGGGTTCACCATCCGGTCAACCTGTCGCATCAGATGTTGCTGGTGAACAAAATCCTTTTCAATCCCGCTCCCCGTTTCTCCCGATGCGGTTTACTGGCAAGACCAAATTTGTGCAACATAAGCTACCTTTTTCGAAGCGCCACAGCCACTACTAAGGAAGATGGAAGGGAGAGCCACGGAGCTGAGAATGGCGGACCCCGGATTCTGACGCTAGAGGAGCTGCAGCTAAAAGCCAAGCAGCAGTGGAATCGCCACTTCCCTTGGCTCATCATCGGTGACACATCCGAAGGTCAACCTTGCATGAGGTGCAAGATCTGCATGGTGTACGCAGATCCAGATTCACAGTACGGCGCTCGGGGCAAGGGAGGCATCGACATACAGAAGCAGATGATGAGGAAGCATCAGTGGAGCATCCGGCACCGGGAGGCGAAGGACCGGTTGGAGCAGCGTGAAGGCCCGCAGAAGAAGCAGGCATCTCTCTCCAACTTCAGAGATAGGAGTGCGGAAACGCGGCGGTTGGTAAAGTTGTTTCTGACTGTGCGTTTCCTTTGCAAATCCGACATCCCCATTGTCATGTTCATGACACTCGTGCAGTTCATGGCGGAGATGGGAACGCCAGATATGCCGGCGAAGGACCAAGGGACTTATTGTTCATGGTGAGTTTTGCAGTTGTTATCGCTGTGGTTTCTGAAAACCCCCTACTATCCATTTATTTCTTGTACTCTTTGACACAGGTATGGTTTCAAACAGCTGGTCGAGACGCTGGTGTGCTACTTGAAGGCGAAGCAGATGCAGCACATCAGCGTCAGTCCCTTCGTTGGCCTTCAACTCGATGAAAGCACCGACCGAAGGCGTGGCAAACACATGATTGTGTATGCCACGTTTCTCCGTGGCACGGTGGTGGCTACCGAGTTCTTCGCCAACTTGTCCGTTGAGAAGTGTGACGCCGGGTCGCTTGAGGCCGTCCTGCTGATGCACCTTGCTGCGTGCGGCCTCGAACTGACAAGGGTCAGCGGCATGACCACGAACGGCGTGAGCGTGATGACGGGCGGGCAGACAGGCCTAGTGGCGCGATTACGAACACGGGTGCCGCATATTGTGCCGTGCCACTGCGTGGCCCACAGGTAGTGTGTTGTTTTTATGTTGTGATGTTGCGTTCACATGTTTCCCGCCCACTAATCCTACTCGTGTTATGAGTGCAGGGAGGCTCTGGCTGCTAAGGATGCTGCTGAAGAGTTCCTTCGCGGACATTCTCGGCCGCAGCATCGTGCAGCATGCGCAATTCAAGAAGCTGGAGGAGGTGATTACAGAGACCAACCTGGAGATGCAAGGGATTAAAGACGGCCGCTGGCTGTCACGCGGGGACGCCATCGAGCACTTTGCAGACGTGCTGCCTGCTGCCGTTGTCCTTCTGCATGAGTACGACAAGGCAACTTACACTATTGTCACCAGTTTGAAGTTTCAGTTTTTCCTCTTCTTTCTGGTTGACGTGCTTCAAGAGCTGAACAGCCTGAATCTCAAGTTCCAGCATCGACAGGTGATTTTGTGTAGTTGCAACCACCATCCTGTCCTCCCGTGTCGAGCCTAATTCTGTTTCTGTTTAATATGTGTAGCTTGATGCGACGCAGGTGCGGTCGATGGTGCAGCACACTGTCAGAACATTATAGCTTATGCTATTGTGTAGGCTATAGTGGGGTATCCCATAGGGGGTACAACCCAACTAGGGTTTCATATTTGTACTCGCTTCATTCACAGTTCACACCATTCTCTCGTTCTCATTCTCACATGGAATCAGAGCAGGTCCCCTCCTAGGAACTGTTCCTAGGGCCCACCGAAGCGCGCCTCGAGTCGCGCTCTCCTTTTTTTTTCTAGCGGCCTGTCGTGCCGCCCTTACGGTCGCGTCGAGCCGCCCTAGCGGCCCCACCGCCCTACCTAGTGGCCCCGCCACCCTACCTAGCGGCCCCGCCGCCCTACCTCGCGGCCTCGCCGCCCCATTGCGCGGCCCCGCCGCCCTACCTAGCGGCCCCGCCGCCCTTACTCGCGACCCCGCCCCCCCCATCGCGCGGCCCCGCCGCCCCATCGCGGCCCCGCCGCCCCTTCGCGCGGCCCCACCGCCCTACCTAGCGGCCGCGCCGCCCTTCCTCGCGGCCCCGCCGCCCCATCGCGCGGCCCCGCCGCCCTACCTAGCGGCCCCGTCGCCCTTCCTCGCGGCCCCGCCGCCCCATCGCGCGGCCCCGCCACTCTACCTCGCGGCCCCGCCGCCCTACCTCGCGGCCCCGCCACTCTACCACGAGGCCCCGCCGCCCTATCTTGCGGCCCCGCCGACCTACCCAGCGGCCCCGCCGCCCTTCTGCAGCGGCCCCGCCGCTCCTCTGCAGCGGCCCCGCCGCCCTACCCAGCGGCCCCGCCGTCCTTCTGCAGCGGCCCCGCCGTCCTTCTGCAGCGGCCCCGCCGCTTCTCTGCAGCGGCCCCACCGCCCTATCCAGCGGCCCCGCCGCCCTCTCTGCAGCGGCCCCGCCGCTCCTCTACAGCGGCCCCGCCGCCCTACTTCAGCGGCCCAGCCGAGCCGCCCAGCAGCAGAGCAGCCGAGCCGCCCAGCAGCAGAGCAGCCGAGCCGCCCCGCCGCCGAGCCGCGCTGAAGCCGAGCCGCCCGGCCACCCACCAGCCGAGCAGCCGTGCAGCCGACCGCCCAGTCGCCGAGCCGCCCAGCTGCCGAGCCGCCCAACCACCGAGCCGCCCAGCTGCCGAGCCGCCCAGCAGCTGAGCCACCCGAGCAGCCCTGTCTGGTGAGCACAGACCCTCTGTCACTGCGTGCCCTTCCCCTACTGCTTGCACTGCTGGTCTCCTACTGTCATGGCTACCCCTAGTGTCCTCGCTTTTTACGCTGAGGGTCGGGCCATTGACTTTGAGGTCGGGGTAGATGACCTACAGCTGTTCTTACAGTGCGATAGGGCGGACGGCCTCTCTCTCTTTGACCTCACCTCTGGCGCTTCCCCTGCCCCTGCTGCTGATGCTGACGCCACTGTTCGCTCCCAGTGGGCCACGCGCGATGCTGCTGCACGTCTTGCTGTGCGTCGCCACCTCCCTACCTCCGAGCGTGCGCACTTTAGTCAGTACAAGAGTGCTCAGACCTTGTACGACGCTGTAGTCGCGCGCTACTCCTCCCCTTCCACTGCTGCACTGAGCCGTCTCATGCTGCCGTACCTCTTCCCTGACCTTGCTGCCTTTCCCACCGTTGCTGACCTCATTACGCACCTCCGCACTAGTGACACTCGCTACCGCGCTGCACTTCCTGCTGACTTTTGCACCGCGAACCCCCCCCCCCCCATGTATATCACTCTGTACTTCCTAGTCACTCGCCTCCCTGACTCCCTTCAAGTAGTCAGAGACCACTTTCTCTCAGTCTGTCCCACCACACTCACTGTAGACCTCCTCGAGAAGGCCCTCCTCGCGATAGAGAAGAGCATTGTCGCTGTAGGAGCCTCTCGAGGTGACCCGCGCACCCCCATCTTTGAGGGGTGTTCTCCCTCCCCCCTGCTGCCCTCTGTTGCCTCTGCTGCTGCGGCCGACCTCCTTGGTCTTGAGTTGGTCGGTGCGGCGTCTGGCCCTAGCGGGAGACGCCGCCCTGGCAAGGGCAAGGGGGGCAAGGGAGCTGGAGGAGCGGGCGGTGGAGGTGGAGGTGGAGGCGGTGGGGGTAGTGGGGGTGGCGGTGGGAGTGGAGGTGCGGGTGGGGGGGTCGGTGGCGGCGGTGGAGGCGGAGGCGGCGGCGGCGGTGGCGGTGTGAGCGGAGGTGGCGGTGGAGGCGGCAGTGGAGGCGGCAGTGGAGGCGGCGACAGTAGCGGAGGCGGCGGAGGCGGTGGGGGTGGCGGTGGAGCTGGTCGCGGGCCTTCGTAGAGGTGTGACTCTGGTGCTGCTGGGGGTGCTGAGCCTGGGGGTGCTGGACCAGGGGGTGCGGAGTCTGGGGGTGCTGAGCCTAGGGGTACTGCGTCTGGGGGTGCTGAGCCTGGGGGTACTGAGCCTAGGGGTGCTGAGCCTGGGGGTGCTGAGCTTGGGGGTGCTACGCCTGGGGGTGCTGAGCCTGGAGGTGCTACGCCTGGGGGTGCTGAGCCTGGAGGTGCTACGCCTGGGGGTGCTGGGGGTGGAGGTGCTCCGCCTGGAGGTTCTCCGGGTGCTTCTTCTCGCCGGGAGCCACTCTCTCCACAGGAGCTGCGCGAGTGGTTTGCTCGGCGCTGGCGCCGTACTGCTGGTGCTGGAGGTTCTTCGGCTGCTGAGGGTACTGCAATCGCGGGTCCCCGAGGTGCTCGTACTGGGAGTACTGGAGCTGCTGGGCCTACGGGTTCGCCTGGAGCTGGTGCTGGTGAGGGTGTTGGCGCTGAGACTACCGCTGGCGGTCCTACTGGGGGTGCTCCTGGTGCTGCTGGAGGTGCTACTGGAGCGGGTGCTCCTCCTGAGGGTACTGGTGCTGTCCCTGCTGCTTCTGGCGTCGTCACGCGGCCTCGTCCGTACTTTGTTCCACTCCTGCAGCAGGTTCTTGGTCCTCCTCCTTCTACTGGTCCTCCTCCTCCCTTAGAGTGTCCACAGCCTGTCCCGTCACAGTCACAGCTACAGCTTGCCTCCCCTCTGCCTGCTCCTTCTCCCTACGCTGGTCCTACTGGAGTTCTTACTCAGCGTTGTGAGCCTGCGTCTCGTCCTGCGTCGCCTGTTAGAGATGCTCGCGCTAGTGGTCGCAGTTCGCGCCGGCGTCCTCCTCCTGTCCCTGGCACGCACCGGATGTCTCTGCGTCCGTCTAATGCTCCTCTGCGTGCCCCTTTGCCTTCCCCTCCTGAGTCCTCTCTTCCTGCACTTGCCGACCCTGAGTCGGACTCTCTTCGTGCTGCCAGTCCTACTGTCACGCGTCTCCTTGCTACGGTTGTCACTGACCCTTCTTTCGAGTCTACTGCTGCGTCTGCTCTCGTTACTGAGCTCGTCGACTTTGCTGCTCACTGTCGCTTAGACTACGCTGCTAGTCTTGTCGCTGAGTCTGAGTCTGTCTGTCCTCCGTCCGTCGGGGGTGAGTGTGCCCTTGGCACGGACGTCCTTGAGGACAGGCAGGAGGAGTTCCAGTGTCTGGCTGCTGCTTCACCTCATCTCGTGTCCGTACTGCTTACCCCTGAGGGAAACCCGGATGCACTTGACATCCCGACTCCGCGCTCTTACGCGGAGGCGATAGAGGGTCCCTACTCCTATCAGTGGCAGGCAGCTATGGATGCAGAGATGGCTTCCTGGAAGTCCACAGGCACCTACGTTGACGCTATCCCCCCTCCTGGGGCGAACATCGTCAGTGGCATGTGGATCTTCAGGGAGAAGCGGCCGCCGGGTTCTCCGCCTGTCTTCAAGGCGCGTTACGTGGCTCGTGGCTTCCGTCAGCGGCAGGGAGTTGACTACTTTCAGACCTTCTCTCCCACCCCGAAGATGACTACTCTTCGGGTACTGCTGCACATTGCTGCTCACCGTGACTACGAGCTCCACTCTCTCGACTTCAGCACAGCTTTCTTGTAGGGCAGCCTGCACGAGGAGATCTGGCTGCGCCGCCCACCTGGCTTCACTGGGTCTTTCCCTCCTGGTACCCAGTGGAGTCTCCGGCGTCCAGTCTACGGTCTCCGCCAGGCGCCACGTGAGTGGCATGACACACTGAGGACTGCGCTTGCGGCTCTTGGGTTTGCTCCTTCTACTGCCGACCCGTCGCTGTTTCTGCGCACCGACACCTCTCTGCCGCCGTTCTACATCCTCGTGTACGTCAACGACTTGGTCTTTGCCACAGCTGACACTGCTGGACTCGCCTACGTGAAGCCCGAGCTGTAGAAGCGACACACGTGCACAGACCTGGGTGAACTGCGCAGCTACCTTGGCTTGCAGATCACCCCGGACAGAGCACGCCGCACCATTACCCTGACTCAGTCACACATGGTGCAGCAGGTCCTTCAGCGCTTCGGCTTCACGTACTCCTCGCCTCAGGCCACTCCTCTGCCTACTCGCCACTCACTCTCAGCTCTGCCTTCGGATGAGTCCGTAGAGTCGAGTGGCCCGTATCCAGAGCTTGTTGGCTGCCTCATGTACCTGATGACCTGCACACGACCTGACCTTGCATACCCTCTTAGCATTCTTGCACGCTATGTTGCTCCTGGGAGACACCGACCAGAGCACATGGCTGCAGCGAAGAGGGTGTTGCACTACTTTTGCAGTACGTCGGGCATGGGGCTAGTGCTTGGAGGGCGGAGTCCAGTGGTCCTCACTGGGCACGCGGACGCTTCTTGGGCTGACAACCAGGCTACGCAGCGGTAGTCACAGGGTTACACCTTCAGTCTTGGTTCCGGCTCTGTTTCGTGGCGGGCTACCCGCTCGTCTTCTGTTCTCGGCTCCAGTTGTGAGGCTGAGATCTACGCCGGGGCTATGGCTGCCCAGGAGCTTCGCTGGCTCACCTACCTGCTGACCGACCTTGGAGAGCCGCCTCGTTCTCCTCTAGTCCTGTACGTAGACAACAAGGCCATGCTGCCCTTGTGTCGAGAGCAGCGACTGGAGCACAGGACAAAGCACATTGCTCTCCGTTACTTTCTTGCTCGTGAGCTACAGCAGCGTGGACAGTTGCGGCTTGCGTACGTGGCCTCTGAGGCCAACACTACTGATGTTTTCACCAAGGCACTTGCGCCTTGTGATCATCAGCGCTTCTGCACTCAGCTGGGTCTTGTGCCTGTCTTGCCTCACTTGCTCACTTCTTGACCTTGCTTGTACTGTCACATATATATACTCGTGCTCTTGCTTGCTTAGCCTCTATATATATATATATATATATATATATATATGTGCTCTTGCATGTGAACTGGCCTTTTGGCCTTTGAACTTGTGCTCGGAATGTGTGGTGACTTTGTGATCCACCCTGAGCTTTGCTTTGCTTTGCTTGACTGGTCTTGTGACCCCTTGTTCTCCCCCACTTTGCCTATAGGGGTGTGTTAGAACATTATAGCTTATGCTATTGTGTAGGCTATAGTGGGGTATCCCATAGGGGGTACAACCCAACTAGGGTTTCATATTTGTACTCGCTTCATTCATAGTTCACACCATTCTCTCGTTCTCATTCTCACACACACCACCCTGATCTTGACAAGTCGCTATGTGGAGTACGGCTCCACATTCGGCGACAACAGTGGTCGTCTTGCGACTTTCCTGAAGAACCACGGGAGCACCGAGCTTCGCGAGGTGAAGGTCGAAAGCATCGACAGTGCGGGAGCACCCGTGAGTCACACCTACTTGCTGCACGAGGACCTAATCGGGAAGGAGAAGTTTGGGGGCGACCTGGCGTCGTGCGTGGAGACGGCATCTAAGTTCGCTGGGAGGACTGTGTTCTTCATCGAGGATCGCTTCACGAGTCTCAAGTCGTTGGACGGGGCCCGTCTGTTTCGGCAGGGACGGTACCCGCGTTCGCGCGCTAAGAGAGCGCGTCGTTTTCGCGAATGGCTTGAGTCGCTGCGCAACCTGTTCAAGAAGAAGCCCCACCATCCAGACACCCTCCCTGGTTAGCGTTTGCATTTAAAACAACGTATCTTCCTCTAACCGTTAGTGCTGCCGTGCCTTAACTGGACTCTTTTTTGTGATAACCGATGTCCCACACCCTACCCTACCCTCACCCTCAGGTGTCGACTGGGGCAAAGCCGCCAAAGAGCTCACCAGCTTCACCACCATCCTCTCCATTCACCATGAAGACCTGTCCTTCCACGACAGCCTGTCGCAGATGCTCTCAACGCCGGATTGGGAGTCAGCCTATCCGAACCTCGGTCGCCTGTGGATAGCTGTTGCTGTGCTACCGCTCAGCACTGTTGAGTGTGAGCGCGGCTTCAGCCGTCAGAACATCATCAAAAGCTGGGTGCGCGGCAGCTTGTGCGACACAACACTGGGCGACCTGATGACGGTGTCTCTTCTGGATTACGAGCTGAACACAGAGGAGCTGGTGGATAGGTGAAATGCCAGCAAGAAGAGGCGGCCGGCTCGTGAGGTGGTTATGGCTGAAGGATCACGCTCGGTGAAGCGACGGCGGTCCCATCACCTGAAGAAACGCGCTGCAGCATCAGCAGCAGCAGAAGCAGCTACACGCGCACGGAAAGAGGCAGAAGAGGCTGCAACAAGGGAGAGAGAGAGGGAAGCAGAAGAAGCTGCATGGGAACTGCCTACCTGGAGGAAGGGCAAACCCAGAGCCACAATTGTTGAAACCTCTGAGAGTGGCAGTGGTAGTGATGACAGTGGCAGTGGTAGTGATAACAGTGAAAGCAGTAATGCTAGTGATTCCTCTTAGAATTGAATAGGATGTCGGTAGATTCTTTTAAGTCTAGAAACTACGTAGGCTAGGAAATTTGCTAGCTACCGTATAAAAATTAACTATCTAATTCCGTCTGACGGCTCTGACAAGTGTTTTTGATTCGTCTGAAACGTAAGACTACCGTAGGCTAAAACTTTCGTCTGAACATCAGACAAGGCTCCAGGACCCGGTCTTAACGTCAGACGGGCCCTGGCACTAAAGTAAGCCCTGCCTCAGTATGGTGCTTTTCGTTCCAGAGCGGTTTGATTCTAATCGAGAGCGGTGTTGCGCAACAAAACATAGACAACTCGGTGAGGTTGTGTTCAGGTCTCAGAGCATGGTGAAATACCACACTCTACTATATATGAAAATAAAGACAGTTATAGCCTGGATATTAGTATCCTTCAGGTGTTAAACCAGCAATTACCGTAGTAGTTTAAACATGCAAAAATTATACATTGGCTTAGGAGAAAACATGCACTTCCACCTCCCTATTAAACCTAACTCGACGGTCCAACGACCGAGTGCGAGTGATTGCACCTTCATCATCCTTCAGCGCAAGTATCGACTTGGGAACGCCACACGCAACTGCTGCTGCCGCGGATTCCGTAGCCCAGCCGGCCCCGTTCGGCAGTATACTGTTGTCCGATCTAGTTGATACGAGGTTTCGGTTCATCACACGCTGGAGGTCTGGAGAGCATATGGGAGAACACTCTAAAGGGGACAGGAACATCCGTTTCCCCTTGGGGAATTTCCTTTGTGGTGATGCTGCTGAAGCAGCTTCCCCTGCTGAAACTGCTGCTGCAGCTGCCGCTGCCGCTCCTGACATTGGAGCTGATACGGACCTGAAATCATTTACACCCATTTGCAAAAACTGTTGAATCATCCGCTGCTGCTGCTGCTGCTGCTGCTGCTGCTGCTGCTGCTGCTGCTGCTGCTGCTGCTGGTGTTGCATCATGTGCCGATCCGAACCTACAGAGGCTGCGGCAAAGGAAGATCCAGCCGAGTGATGTTCTTTCAGTGAACTCAGGCCCGAGGCAGTATGCAAAGGGGAAGGGCGCGGGGCTACCACACGGGGGGAGAGGGGGGACGGGCGGCGTGGGGACAGGGGGGAGAATCCTCTTGGGGAAAGAGGGGAGGGGCCTCTAGGGGAGAGTGGGGAAGGGCGACGAGGGGAGAGGGGGGAAGCGCGCGGGGAGAGAGGGGAAGGGCCCCAGGGGGAGACTGGCGGGGGCATGCAGGGGGAGAGGGGGGAAGGATGGCGGTTGAACAAGGGGGAGGGACCACAGGGGGAAGACACGCGCGGGGATAAGGGGGAAGGGCCTCTGGGGACAAGTGGCGAGAGGCGGAACGTGGGAGAGGAAGGAGAGGTATAGGAGTTCTGATCGGTTGGAATAGCAATGACAGGGAATGGTTTGGAGATGTTGCGACCCCTTCCACTGCCCACCATTCCCGCGCCCGCCATTCCCGCACCCGCCATTCCCAAGCCCCCACGCGATTGGGCAGCTGCTTCCTCGACGTTGTTTTCGGAACACTCATTATTATCACATTTCGCCGTGTCGATACTGCCAGAGGGGCTAGAGTCCCGGCTGCTGCTGTTGCTGCCGCTCCCATCCCATCCTTGCCCGAGCCTCGACTTCCTCCCGACCCTCGCAGCCCCGCGACTCTCCACCACTGCCGAACCCGGCGGGCAGGCTTGGTGCAGGCTCGGCAAATCGGCGCTGCCGCGATCCGGCTCCGAAGGTTCAGACACATTGTTTGTCTCAGCTCTTGCGACTATCGGGAAAGCGGGCTTTGCTCTGCTGCTGCCACGTGGCACGGCTTGCCCGTCTGACATGGACCGGGGGAACCTCATCGCTGCGCTTCCGCGTGGGTTAGCATGCGGGGGGCTTTTGCGCAGCGCAAACTGCGCGCCCGTACCGGAAAATGCGGAGGGGGGTGACACAGAAAGCGAAGAATCGGCGCCGTTGATTTGGCTGATTGAGGGGAAACAGAACGGTGCCCCACTCTGCGGCGGCAAGCGCGCCGTAGGCGCAATCATCGCGGGCGGCGCGGTCGTCGTTCGCGGCGCAGATCCCGGCTGCAGCGCCACCCCCACAGTCGCCGCTGGGGAGGTCGATATCGTTCGAGCCGCGGCGCCCGAGCCGCGACCGTCGCCGCCGACTTTAGACCTGCCGGCCTGAAGAGCCATTAGGTCGGCGATCCCAAGTGCCGTCCGCCGACTCGGTGAGGGTCGTGGCCGGCAGACGCCGCCGGCGTGAGAAACGGCGCCAGGAGCGGAGTTGTCGGTGCTTTTCGCGCTTCTCTGCCGCGGCATCGCCGGCGTGACGGCGCTTGCCGCCACGACGGCCCGCTGCGGCATTGTCGGCGCTTCTCGCGCTGGGGATAATGCGCGAGTCGCTGCCTTCTGCGGCGAGTCGGGGCGAATCGGGAATGCGCCGCGTGAAGATACAGCGGGAGATGCGGCGGCAGCGGGAGATGCGGAAGCGCTTCCATTAGAGACAAGCGAAGGAGAATGGAGCCACAATCGAGCGGCGGCGATCGTATCGAACTGCTCTGAGGGCTGCTTCTGGTGGCTCACGAAAGCCACGTTGGATTTCTTCGATGCTGACGTGTGCCGCCCGCTATTACTAGTAGTAGCGATAAAGTCAAAACTAGCCGCTCTGCCGTGCAACGCGCCGCCCCGGTTACTATACGCTGATGGGAGAGCGGCACGAGGGGCGTATGCTGAAGGGTACGTAGCCGACTCTGACGCCGATGCTGACGTGGTAGACTCAGTCATGGCACCGAAATTCTCGCCGGGAGCAGCGCCGCAGCTCGCGGCGGCCGTGGCGGTGCAGGAGCTGGGAGCTGATGCGGTTGGAGCCGTGGAATCCACGTAATTGCGAACGGAGCGCGAGCCGCCGTCGAATGGATGCGGACGCGGCGCCGGCGAACGAGATGGTAAGAAATCTGGTCTTGAGTTGAACTGACTCGGCCGTAAGTCTAACTGAGGTTCTGCGGGGTTGCGCGGGAAAGGCTGTTGAGCTCTGGAATGCCGCTCAACCAGCAAGGCGACTTCAGCTGACATGACACTGTTAGTGCAAACAGATGGAGCGGAGATATAGACTGTACAGCACAGAAGCTTAGTAAAAATCTACGGACGATGATGTAATCTAACGGGATGGTAGGAATGGGATACGATCAGGGAGGGTGGGGTAATTAATTAGCTGGCGTTGTGGAAGAAAGCTGAGAGTTCCCCAAGCTACCTAGCTTAGTCGGGTAGGGGTGGAGTGGAAGGTATGGAAGTGGAGAGGGTGGGTGGGTGGGGGTCTCGGAGCGGGAGGGGTGTTGGATTGGAATTCGCACGAGGCGAGGTAATAGACCCTCTTCTCGATAGACTGGCATATGTTATACTGACCGCAACGCCTAGTGTAACCACAACGGACCAAAGAAGGTCCTATCACATGCGTTATAGTGACAGTTTGACCCAAGGTGGTCAGTCAGGGTTTCAAACCTTATAAAATGGTACTGTCGTTTTCAAAACGGAAAGGCTAATCAGCGTTAACGATTTTTTACTGCCCAAGGCTTGTTTCATCACCCCGCAACCGGGTTATCGCACCAGCCCGCTACTTCCAAACACTGTAGCAAGTGCGCGCGATGGTGAGAAAGATGAGAAAAAAGGTGTACAGAGGGGATGATTTTTTTCTCGCAGTGGGGTGATTGTTGTAATGTGCAGCTGTCAACGAGACAAGTAGTTTGGGACGAGAGGGGGGAAGGAAAGGGGGTTGTGGTGGCGGAATGGGGAATTATGGGTGGCACGAAAGCGGTTCCGGGCAGGCTTGACGATGCCTTTATTACAAGGAAAAATATGTCGAGACGACCCTACATATTCAGCAACGAGGGAGGACTTACTTTGCTATTTTACCTAGACGTTACAAACCTCTATATCTGGTCATCAGTAATCTTCCTAATAATGGAACTGTTGTGAAGCAGTACATCGAGAGTCTCCCAAAATTACGGGGTGGTCCTGGCTTGAAACCCTAGCACTCAATCAACACACTAAAGTCTTTGTAGCTCTACACAGTGTGTGTGCAGAAGTAAACTGTAGTATCAGATAGTGGAGATACAGTGACAGGCGACAAGGGTTGAAAACGAGAAGCCCCGCCCACATCAGTTCCATCAGGAGCACATTGGTCAAATACACCCTGTTTCGCGCTAGCAGAGCATCTGGTTGCAGAACATGCACTGGTTGTAGAACGTCACCACGTTTGAAATGGTCTTATCACCGACGGTACAAGCACATTCACAAGAAAGCGGTTAGCTAGGATGCTGCATGGTAAAGAACATTAACAAAGCGTTTCAAAACGGTTGAAAAGGGTATACAGCGATATAGAAAATTTTTGCCCCCAGTACCACTCCGTCAGCTGGTGCGGCTTTGCCCGCAGGTTTCAGCCATACGGTTTATGGCACCTGACCGCACTGTAGCAGCGAATCGCGCAAGGTGAGAGGGTCGAGAAACAGGGTGTACAGTATGTGACAGCTGTTGGCGCGACTGGTGCTGTACAGCGCAACAAGGTGAGAGCACGGGTGAAGGAGGCCGGTGCAAGTGACAAAGCAGACAAATAGTTGAATGAAATACGTTTTCAAGGTGTTTGTTTCTGACACTCCTGGTTTTGAAGGCTTGCCTGAAATGCACTGTGTTGTACTTCAAATGAAGTGTGGAGCTGCTCTAGGCTCCTATTTTCCCGTAAAACTGGAGTCAGAAGTGAGGATTGATAAGTACAGAAGAGAGACCCATGTTGTACCGTTCATGCATCTAACACACTCTTGACCCTTCAAAATCTTCCAGCCCCTCGGAGCCTGAGGTGTGGTGCCCGCTTTCCGGGTCTGTAGAGAACATGAGCCACCAGCCGAAGAGCAATCAATTGTTGGTGCCAACGCCCATGTGGCAATGTGACGGCCAGCGGCGGTTTTGCGCAAAGCGAGGACGAGTGCGCCTGCTTGCCTTGCCATCTGCTTCGTCTCGTCAGCCACAACAAGCGGTGGAGGGAAGCGTCAGGCAACGTCAGGTGTAGTTGATTCGTTCACTTTACGCAGGAGCAAGGCGAGCCATGCATTCTTCATGAACATATACAAGACAGCACGCTGACGTAAGGTATGAAAATCTCACTGATATCCCCATTATAACTGTACAGGTAGGAATGTGGAACAAGTGTGGATCCAGGAGAAAAAAAACCATAAACAATACATACTTCAAAACATTTGCAATAACAGGAGCAAAACAACCCAGTTACACTGCACTATCACGTGTAGAAATACTAAGTGTGGAGAACACTCTCGTTCAGTCTGAAACAGAATTGTATGCAGCCTACGGTATTGTTTTCTCTTTACACATGGCAATGTGCGCCTCAGTCGTTCCAGACGGAGAACCATGAGTGCTCTGCACGAAATTTTGGGTTGAAGGGGGTAAAAACGAGATCGTGAGACACGGCGAGATGGCAGGGAGTTGGTGCTAAAGAACAGACCTGAATGAAGGCAGGCAATAATCGTATGGTTTGGAGATAAACAAATATCTCCCACACATTGACGTACCAAGAGCAGCTCGAGCTGTTAGTCGCTTCTTTGGATCCCGTGTCAACATCCTCCTTATGAGGTCCACTCCCTCCAACGATACATCACGCCACGCCTCCCCTTTGAAGCACGGCTTTGCCTCTTTAATCGCTTTCATTATCCCAGCATCAGTGCGCGCCCAAAAAGGGGGAACACCTGAGATCAACACATAGAGTACGACCCCGGCTGACCACACATCTGCCGGAATCCCATAGCTCCCTTCTATCACCTCCGGCGCGACGTAAAACGGCGATCCGACAAAGTCACATAGAGGCTTTGCACCCGGCTTGACCACAGTAGCCACGCCAAAGTCGATGAGCTTGCATTCCGTTATCGAGTCGGGGCTTGTAAGGAGGACGTTTTCGGGCTTGATGTCGCGATGCACGATGCCGCGCATGTGGCAGAATGCGAGCACGTCGAGGATGGTTCGCATGACTGGAACGGCTTCTCTCTCCTCGTATCGCTTCTTCTCCTTGATTTTGTCAAAGAGCTCTCCTCCAACACATAGCTCCATCACCAAGTGAACACCCTGGAAGAGGGGGAGGGGGACACATGAGGAACATAGGATGAAGGTTGATTTGGACACCCTCTTTTGTCGGAAGAGCTCCCTTCCAGCACACAGCCCCATCACCATGTGAACGCCATGGAAGGGGGGATAGGAAGATAAGGTGAAGGGTGAGTGAATGAGGAAGTGAGTGGTTGGAATGAGAAGGAACCGTTATGATGCATTGTGCAAGTGCATGCACATGTGATTCTGCATGTGTACGTGGAAGTGCACGTGCAAGTTCATATCAATGAGTGCATGCATGTGAACGTGGATATGCATGTGCATGCACTTGTATGCGCATGTGCATGTGCATGTACATCCTCGTGCTCACACCCTCTCATCGTCAAATTCTTACTGAAGCCAGGCAATTTCAGGATCAGGTCATACAACAGAAGTGAGGTGCCTCACAATGTGCATGTGAATGTCAATGTGCATCGTATCATTCTCTTTCCTCACCTCCTCATCTTCAAACACTTCTTCTAGCCGCGCAATGTTAGGGTTGGGCCTTAAGGTCTCGAGCATCGAAACCTCTCTTCTGATATCTTCCAAGTCTGATTTGCTCTGCCGAATGGGGTCAGGATGGGGGAAGAGTGGGGAAGGGAGTGAGTGAGAGAGGGGAGTGATTCAGAGAAGTGATTGAGTGAGGGGAGTGAGTGAGCGAGGGAAGGGAGTGAGGAGGGAAGAGAGTGACTGAGGGATTGGAGCGAGTTAGAGAAGGGAGTGGGTGAGGGAAGTGAATGCAAGGAGCGAGGGGAGTGAGCTAGAGAAGCAGATGAGAGTGAGGGAAAGGAGGGGGGAGGGTTGACACTCAAATCACTATCTTCTAGCAATGAAACTTACCTTGAGATTTGCCTTGCAGATTGACTTGCACGCAAACTGCTTCCCCGTTTGTCTGCACTTGGCCATCCGCGTCACGCCAAACTGGCCCGCCCCAAGTTCCTGATCCATCATGACGAAGTATTTCTTCTCAATCGCGGAAAACTCCCTTCCAAGAACGTTTTCCGTCAAGCCGCCCCCTCCTCCCAACATCCCCGACAGTTGCGACAGTCCGCGCATCGCAAGCCCTAAAATCCCCTTTCCGCCACCCTTGGCTTTGTAAAACGCGGATCGGATCTCCTCCACACTGCAGACTTCGTCGTCTAGCGCGGCAGTCGCGGCGGCCGCGGCGGCGATGGAACCAATCCCGTTAATTCCGCCAGAAGCAGCGGACGAAGCGGCGAGCTCGCCGGAGAGGGAGGAGAGGGAGCGAGCGACCCGTGCCACGGGCGGAGAGGCTTTTCCGCTGAAAGACGCGGCGCCAGTTGCGGAGAAGGACTTGGGGACCTTCCCTCCCACCGGAGGCCCTCCCGCCGCTCCCCCCGCTCCGGCCGCCGTCGCCGCCGCTGTTCCCGCTGCTGCTGCCCCTACTGCTGCGGCGGCTTGTGCGGCCACGCCTGCCATATCGACCGACGCGGCGCGGGATTTAAGTACCATCTTCCCCAAATGCGCACCGCTCGAGCAATCCAACGACTGTGTGCGCGCCACCGTGCCCTTTCCGCCCCGCGCAGCTGGCGGCGCCTGTTGCCCCGCCGCCAATCGCGGGCCGGCAAGGGCGCCGGCCGGCGCGGAGGACGAGAAATCTGGCCCTGCCACTCCGCCTCCTCCGCCGGCCGCGGGGTTCTTCCGCAAGTTCTGGAGCGACTTGCGCGCGGCTGCGGCGCTTAGCGCGACGGGCTGCGGAGCGCCGGAAACCCGCGCGACTCCCGCCGGGGCGCCAGCCCCAGCGCCAACGGCGGCGGCGGCTGCGGAGGCGGCGGAGCCTGAGACGAGGCTGCCTTGCCGGCTCGGGCCGAGCCTGGACCTTCCTCGAGCAGCAGCAGCGGCTGCTCCATCCCCGTTTGTAGCCTCCCCGGTAGTACTGAAGGGGCCGTCGTTAGTAGCGTCGACGCTGTTACAGCGGCTGACACTTGGAGAACTACTATTGGAGTTGCAGAGGCTCCTGCAATTCCGCGAGTCGGCCTGGAGGTCTTCTAAGGACGCCCTTAATAATTGGTCCACGTTAGAGCCGCTCCGACGGGGCCGCTGGGGGGGAAGGAGCGGGGACGGGCATTGCGGGGACGGGCATTGCGGGGATGGGGATTGCGGGGGAAAGGATGCGCTTGCGGAAGAAATTCCGTCGTTGGGGGAAGCGGAAATGGGGGACGTGGTCGCTTGCGGAGACCTGACAGCGCCTGACAGCGCCGCTCCGCGAACGTTCCGCTCATCTTCCACGCTCCGCTCACACCACGCCTCCCCCTGTTCCCTTTCTGCCGACTCTGTTCCGCCGTACATATCCTCGTCTTTTGCGTATCCCACCGCAGACGGGTTTGGGCCCCCCTGTTCGCTATAATCACAACCCGCGCCGAAGCGATCGTCATCAATCGAACCACGTGGAGGAATTTCTGGCCGTAGTTGCCCTTCTCGGATGGACCTGCCCCCCGAAACTCGCGGGCTACTATCACCACTGACCTCCTTACATTCAAGAATCCTCGTTAGTGACCTGTTGCTGCTTAACGAACGCGTTTCCGACCCCGTTCCGCTCATCCCACCTCCTCCGACTCCCCCGCCTCCGCCCGTCCCTCCTCCTCCGGACCCCGCAAATTCACCCCGAGAGGATGTGGGCGACCTCATTCCCGCCCCCACGGGGCTCTTCAGCGGGGGCGGGGCCGCATTTCGCGGCGACGCCTGCGGCGGTCCGTGCGGCGACAATTGCGGCGGCAGCTGCCCTAGCGAGCCATACCCTACATCAGCTTCCCCTGAAAATCCGGCCGGAAGACTCACCCGCCGCCCCAAATTTCCAGGTCCGGGCGCTTGCCCCGAAGGGGCTCCGAACCTACCTTGCTGGTTCGGACTCACCGTACCAGCGGCGGTGCTTCGGTTCGGCTGACCGGAAGCTCCCAGAGGAGCCGCGTTTCTCCGCCCAACCGGCAGCGACGTGTTTTTGTTAAGTTGCGGGGAAGCTTCCGGTCCGTGTTGCCCCGACGGCCTGTTTTGCTGCTGAAACTGCGCCGCGTGTTGCGGCGGCTGGCTCGCCCCGTTCTGTTGACACGTCATCCCGGAAGACTGCCTCTGAATCTTCTGTGATAAAGCCGGAGCGCCTTTCATCTTAGAGAGATTAGGGTTCACCAGCTGCTGCATATCGTAATTCGATAGACGCGGCCTCTCCTTCTTCTCTTTCTTGTCGTTTTCCGGGGTAGGCTGCTTCGCGTGCAGATCCGGCCGGTTCAGTTTCCGCATAAGCTCCTGCGCCTTTGCCATTTGAAGCTCCGCTTTCGTCGGCGCCGGTTGCTGCGCGCCTTGCGGCGCGAGCTGCGGTCTCACGTTCATCGTCACACTCGCCGCCCCCGGCGCGGCGCCATAGTGGCTGGGCGGCTGGTAAGAACCAAGCGCGCCACCAGCGGCGGGAGCTAATCGTCGCTGGGAGCGCTGCTGCACGAGAGCCATCTGCGGTTGATTCGTTGAAACAACTCGTTTGTGCGCGACTCGTTGCTCTGAAACACCAGATCGACGATTTATGGAGCGAGTCGCTAATAATACTGTCCTAATTTCAATGCGAGGGGGAATGGTTCAGGATGGTCGTCGCGCCACTACTAGAAGCGAAATTCCAGTTCGGAACATCTTATTGATGCAGCTCATTGAGCATTTGACGGGAGAAAATTCGACGGAATGAAGAACTCAACTTTTCACCTGAACCACGATAGAAAGCTCAACTTTCACCTGGAAATTCGACGAAATGGAAAGCTCGAACCCACGTTGTCGAAGCTTGAATGGCGGGAACAGAAGACCCAGTGGCTCCAGAGTTGCATGTTCTGGCTCTTGTGGTTGGAAGCTACTTACACAATTCCCCATCGATACCGCGCGGAACCGAGGTTTCTGAAGGTGAAGATTCGGATGCAATGCGTGCACGCGACGCGGTTTAGGTTGGGCTTTGATTTTGTGGGGGAGGTTTGGCGGGTGGGTTTCAGGACGACGGATGTTGCCAGTTGTGCAGCCTGGATGGTTTGGATGCATCCGCGCCGATTTGGATGGAACGAAATGATAGGGCCTTGCGGATACGTCACGGCACAACGACACGGTGGATCTTGTACCCTGAGGAGGTGACACGTTCCCTTTGCAGATGAATCATGAGAGTGCTGCCAGTCACAGACATCCATGTTTCTGTATCAAATCAGTTTGTGTCGGCGTGCGGGAAACGATTCACGTCATGTAGCAGTGAGCAACTGTGCAAGCAGCAGCAGCCGTTCACTGAGGGTCCGTCATGCGCTTCATTTTCCAGACGGGCGTGGTGCATAAACGTTGTAGTCTGGTCAATACAAAATTATTTACGGTTCAGACTGGTGGGCTCCATGCTACAGTCAAGCAACAGTTTGCTCCGTTTCATCTCCTCTGGCAAAAGGACACCAGAAGTGGCACTGGCAAAGCCTGACGCGGTCACCAAGAACTGCATCCAGTGTAACAGTGCTACTCATCAATGCGGCAGCAGGGGCAGGTGGAAGCGTGAGGTGGCAACAGGTGGTACCACGCAGGCCAGGGTGGTCGGTCCTCTTTATAAAAGGACCAGGTAAAATGCAAGCCTGGCATCAGCTCAAGTGAAGGCACAGCTGTTGTACTATGAAGGTACATGTCTTTTCCAGTGTTATTTAGAGAAAGTATGAATGTAGAATAGCATTTCCTTACCAACAGTACAACATTCAAAATGGCTTTATGGATCACTAAGGTGCTTTCAAGTGCAAAAAACAAAAAAGGAGAAGGGTGAGTTGAAGTTACATGGGAAATGGTGTGAAACGAGAGAGTCTAAGGGTGTGAAACATTGTACATCTAATGAAAAACTGCGGCTTATACTTTTCCACAGAAAATAGTTTTGTTGGGACAGACCAGACTGTGTCAGAAAGGGAGCATCGCATACATATCAGCAAGTTGCAGACGATGCAGCAGCGGATTGGATGGTGCAGATGAGACGACAGATCAGATGGTATGTCAAGCTGGACCCAGCTTCTTATGCTGGTACCATTGCTTCTGATTGTCCTGGCACTCTTGCTGCTGATACTCCCACCGATGCCACACCCAACTTTTGAGTCGACTCAAAAGCCATCTGTTGTGGTGATGCTACTGCCACCGATGCCACTCGCGCTTCAGAAAACCCAACCAAGGTGCTTGGGTAGCAGTAGCAGTGAACCGGCCACTACTTCAAATTTCTCACTTCCTCTTCTCCTTCCTCCCTTCCTCCTCTCCTTCCTCCCAACCATCCCTCCTGCTCTCGCTCCTCCTCTCCCACACTACCACACCCTCCTTTTCCGATTTGCACCACACACATTACCACATTTGATGAAAGCACAGTTGAAGGTGTATGTACGTCGTTGAATGCTCTTATCCATCTACTGACTTGATTGAGAGGACCCTGATTACTGTCTTCTTCATTCACGTGTTTTGAAACAACGTGGCTCCCTGTTTGTCACATTCCCAATACAGACTCCCATTAAGTTAACGCTTTAATCCATGGGTGTTCTGTTGGGAACAGAAGAGGGAATGAGAGAGGGAATGGGAGAGGGAATGAAGAGGGAATGAAGAGGGAATGAAGAGGGAATGACAGAGAAAATGAGAGAGGAAACGAAGAGGGAGAATGAGAGAGATCCTGAGGGAGGCAATTAGAGAGGGAGGCAATGAGAGTGGTAGGGGTGGAACAGGAGAGAGTCGAAGCCACGCAAAGGTCGAAGCTGCTTTTCCCGGGGCATCGACAGGCGCTCCTTTTCCCAAATTCCCCCCACAGAAACATCTAGTCCACCCGCTCATGACCCCACCCCCAACACCAACTCACTGAGAATCTCAGCAACAGTTGGCTCATACTTGCGGCACAGCATCCGTCTGACCAAGTCCTTGCCAGCGGTGCTAACCACGGGCCAGGGCTGGGTGTCAAAGTCGAGCTCCTGCCACAGGATGGTCTCTCACCTGCCCCTCCTCCTCTGTGGTTCTGTGCGGTTCGGTTCGGTGCTCACAACGGACCAGGGCTGGGTGTCAAAGTCGAGCTCCTGCCACAATATGCTCTTGAACCCGCCCCTCCTCTGTGGCTCAGTGCGATTCGGTTCGGTGCTCACAACGGGCCAGGGCTGGGTGTCGAAGTTGAGCTCCTGCCACAGGATGCTCTTGAACCCGCCCCTCCTCCTCGGTGGTTCAGTGCGGTTCGGTTCAGTGCTAACCACCGGCCATGGCTCGGCGTCAAAGTCGAGCTCCTGCCACAGGATGCTCTCTCACCCGCCCCTCCTCCTCTGTGGTTCTGTGCGGTTCGGTTCGGTGCTCACAACGGGCCAGGGCTGGGTGTTAAAGTCGAGCTCCTGCCACAGGATGCTCTCTCACCCGCCCCTTCTCCTCTGTGGTTCAGTGCGATTCAGTTCGGTGCTCACAACGGGCCAGGGCTGGGCGTCAAGAGCCAGCTCCTGCCACAGGATGCTCTTGAACACGTCCTCTGTGGTGTCTCTCACCCCCCCGCCCTCCTGGGTTCCCCAGGCCGATTCCACCCCAGATTTTCCCTTCAGAAGCATAGAGCCCACCCACCTAACCCAAACACCGACTTACTCAGAATCTCAGGCCACTGTAATCCTCCGCTCGTACTTGCGGCAAAGCATCCGTCTGACCAAGTCCCTGGCAGCAGTGCTCACAACCAGCCAAGGCTCCGTCTCGAAATCCAGCCCCTGCCACAGGATGCTCTTCAGCACGTCCTCTGTGGTGTCCCCTCAGAAGGGTTGTTTAGTCCGGTTGGGTAAGGTTAGGTTCCCCAGCCCGATTCAGCCCCAGATTTCTCCCGGACTTACTCAGAATCTCGGCGACAGTAATCCGCCGCTCATACTTGCGGCACAGCATGCGGCGAACGAGGTCCTTGGCAGCGGTGCTGACCACGGGCCATGGCTCTGTCTCGAAGTCGAGCTCCTGCCACAGGATGCTCTTGAACACGTCCTCTGTGGTGTCCCCCCAGAAGGGCGGCAGCCCGCACAGCAGCACATACAGGATCACCCCCGCACTCCACACGTCCGCCTCTGCTCCGTAGTTCTTCGCTATCACTTCTGGAGCAATGTAGTTGGGCGTTCCTGCCCTCAGCTTGCAGCGCTCGCCTAGGAAGGGAGTGAGGGAGTGAGGGAGGGAGGGAGGGAGGGAGGGAGGGATGGCTCTAGATTAAAATACACTGCACCTATGCTTATAATCGGGAAAAAAAAACCTAAAAAAGTACCCTTGATAATCAAGGGCGAAACGGACCGTACCCGATTTCAAGATGCACGCCATGCCGAAGTCAATCACTTTAACCCTTGTATCACTCCTCTTCGACACGAGCAGAATGTTCTCGGGCTTTAAGTCCCGGTGCACGATCCCTCGTGCTTGGCAGTAGGCCAGAACCTCCACAACGGAGCGAATGACCCGCGCGGCCTGCCTCTCCCCGTAGTACTTGCGGTCGAGAATGCGATCGAAGAGCTCTCCTCCCGCACACAGCTCCATCACTATGTGCACCTCCTGGTGAAGTGGAGAGGGGGAAAATGGGGGAACAGGGGGAAACGGGGGAGAAGCGAGGAGGTGAGGAAAGGATTGGAGGGTGCGTGGGAGAGAGCGTGAGTCTCGGCTCACAAACAATTCCCCCCTGACAGGCTTGGCAGTAAGCAAGAACCTCCACCACGGAGCGAATGACCCGCGCGGCCTGCCTCTCCCCGTAGTACTTGCGGTCGAGAATGTGATCGAAGAGCTCTCCTCCCGCACACAGCTCCATCACTATGTGCACCTCCTGGTGGATGTGGGGGAGGGAGGGGGAACATGGGCGGGTGGGTGAAATAAACCACGTGATAAAAGTAGAGTTTTGAAACGTCTCAAAACTGTTGGGTGTGGGGGAGGGAGAGGGGAAAATGTGTGGGTGGGTGAAATCAACGATGCCACCTGCCTTCGGGATCAAAAAGCTCTCCGCCTCCACACAGCACCATCACTATGTGCACCTTCTGGTGGGGGGGAGAAGGGGGGAGTGGGGAAGCATCAGTATGCGCATCTCACTAAGGGGTGGCCCCTCAGCGTGTCACATCTGCTTCTTACTAAGCATCGCAAAGAAATGTGGGCTTCAAGAAAATACCCCAACAGCAACTAGTACCACTCACTCACATGTTCGTCTTTCATTGTCGCAACACTTAACACCACAAAGGGCCGGCCCTTCAGTGCCATAGAGTGTCTTTGGTTGGGTGCGTCCATTGAGATTGTTTTTGAGGCGCCTCAAAAACCAACTCAACAACACAAACGGGTGGCCCCTCAGTGCCTTAGATTGTCTTTGGTTGGGTGCCTCAAAAACCAACTCAACACCACAAAGGGGTGGCCCCTCAGTTCCTTAGATTGTCTTTGGTTGGGTGCCTCAAAAACCAACTCAACAACACAAAGGGGTGGCCCCTCAGTGCCTTAGATTGTCTTTGGTTGGGTGCCTCAAAAACCAACTCAACAACACAAAGGGGTGGCCCCTCAGTGCCTTAGTTTGTCTTTGGTTGGGTGCCTCAAAAACCAAGTCAACACCACAAAGGGCCGGCCCCTCAGTGCCTTAGATTGTCTTTGGTTGGGTGCCTCAAAAACCAACTCAACACCACAAACGGATGGCCTCTCAGTCTCTCAGCGTCTCAGTGCCTCTGTGGGCGTGCTGGAAGCCTCACCTGCTCGTCTTCCATCGTCTGAGCGATCGACACCACAAAGGGATGGCCTCTGAGTGTCTCGGGGTGTCTTTGGGTGTGCTTCAAGTCTCACCTGCTCGTCTTTCATCGTCTGAGCGATCGACACCACAAAGGGATGGCCTCTGAGTGTCTCGGGGTGTCCATGGGTGTGCTTCAAGTCTCACCTGCTCGTCTTCCATCGTCTGAGCGATCGACACCACAAAGGGATGGCCTCTGAGTATCTCGGGGTGTCTTTGGGTGTGCTTCAAGTCTCACCTGATCGTCTTCCATCGTCTGAGCGATCGACACCACAAAGGGATGGCCTCTGAGTGTCGCAGGGTGTCTTTGGGTGTGCTTCAAGTCTCACCTGCTCGTCTTCCATCGTCTGAGCGATCGACACCACAAAGGGATGGCCTCTGAGTGTCTCGGGGTGTCTTTGAGTGTGCTTCAAGTCTCACCTGCTCGTCTTCCATCGTCTGAGCGATCGACACCACAAAGGGATGGCCTCTGAGTGTCGCAGGGTGTCTTTGGGTGTGCTTCAAGTCTCACCTGCTCGTCTTCCATCGTCTGAGCGATCGACACCACAAAGGGATGGCCTCTGAGTGTCTCGGGGTGTCTTTGAGTGTGCTTCAAGTCTCACCTGCTCGTCTTCCATCGTCTGAGCGATCGACACCACAAAGGGATGGCCTCTGAGTGTCTCACCCTGTGCATCTTCCTAACATGACTCAACAAATGGCCCCATAACTTTCACTGCCCACACTCACCTGCTCGTCTTCCATGGTCTCAACGATTGACACCACAAACGGATGGCCTCTGAGTGTCTCAGGCCGGCATATCTTCAACACGACCCAATGAATGGCCTTGCAATAAGTATTACCACTCACATCTTCATCTTCCATGGTCTCAACGATCGACACCACAAACGGATGGCCCCTTAGCGTCTCAAGCACGCTCACCTCCCTCCTCACATCCTCCACGTCGTCCCAGCACTGGGGGGAGGGGAGGGGGGACCAGGGAGCAGAAAGGGCAGGGAACCGAGGGTACACAGGGAGCAGAAAGGGCAGGGAACCGAGGGTACACAGGGAGCAGAAAGGGCAGGGAACCGAGGGTACACAGGGAGCAGAAAGGGCAGGGAACCGAGGGTACACAGGGAGCAGAAAGGGCAGGGAACCGAGGGTACACAGGGAGCAGAAAGGGCAGGGAACCGAGGGTACACAGGGAGCAGGAGGGGAAATGAGTGAAGGGCAGTGTGAGTTTTCAAAGCGTCTCGAGCACGCTCACCTCCCTCCTCACATCCTCCACGTTGTCCCAGCACTGGGGGAACAGAGGGGCCACAGGGAGAAGTCAGAGGCAGAGAGAGTAGAGGGGGTACAGGGGCGGGGCCACAGTTGTCAAAGCGACGCCAGCATGCTCACCTGCCTCCTCACGTCCTCCACGTAGTCCCGGCACTGGGGGATAGAAGGGGATTAGCGGCAGAGGGAGCAACGGAAAAATGAGTGGGGGGAAGGAAGACTTGTCAAAGTGCCTTCAGCACGCTGACCTGCCTCCTCACATCCTCGACGTAGTCCCGGCACTGGGAGAGGGGGACGAAGGGGAAGGTTCAGCAAGTTTATAGTGGAGGAAAGTCCTGGCGTCCCTATAACAAGAGGGCAAGCAGCAACGCTCAAACTTTCCTGCCACAAGAACCCTACCAGAACTCCCCTTCCCTAGCTCCTTGTACTGTGTATAGCCGAACTATAGTGGGACAAGGAATGCTCTGTTTGAGCAAGCCTAAATGTTATAACAAGCAGAGAAAGAAAGCAAGCAGCAATGCTCACCTCGAAGGCGTTTGTGATAAACTTGCAGGCAAACAGCTTCTCAAATCTCAAAATCAAATATCTCCTCACCTCGAATTTAGCCTTGGTGATGCTCTTGCATGCAAATTGCTCCCCAGTCTGCAAATTCTCCCCCACGTGGATCACTCCAAAGTTCCCCCGCCCTAGCTCCTTCTCAGCTAGTTTGTACTTCTTCCTGATATCCGAATAAGGCTCTCCCAGCACATTCGCACGAGTCGGCCCTAGCTCCTCTGCTGCAGATTCCTCCTCGCCCATCCCCTCTCCCCCCTCCGTTTCCCCCCCGTCGATTCGGTAGTAGTCGCTAGGCTGGGGCGTCCGAAGCGGGAAGCCAGCTTCGGCCCGAGCCGAGGCTCCAGCTTTGGGGGACGGGATCGGCGTTCCGTGATTCCAATTGGCAAACATGCTCTGGATTTCGGCCAGCTTGGCTTGGTCCCGATCCTCCTGCGCAGCTAAGGTACCGGGGCTAACCACCATACTTCCCCCGCCAGGAGTCATAGCCCCGGGGGTCACAAACCCGGTACGGGAACTCACTTGAGACAGCATGGGGGAGCCTAGTAACGGAGAGCCTACTAACGGGGAGCCTACTAGCGGGGATCCCATGCGTGGGCTGGCATAGGGGCTAGCATAGGGGCTGGCGTGGGGACTGGTAGAAGGTAGGACGATTTTGGGCTTGTGTGGGCTTTGGATTGGAATTGCTTTTGACTTTCCTACAGGGTTATCCCCAACCTCTGTTCTCCCTCCCCCCCCTGGGGTAAACGCCTCCCTTCCTTCCTTCTCAGATCCCCCTCCTGTTCCGCCTCCCCCTCCCCCTCCTCCGCCTAGCCCTCCCCCTCCCCCTCCCCCTCCCCCTCCCCCTCCCCCTCCCCCTCCCCCTCCCCCAACTCCTCTGGTTACTCCCCCGGGCCCTCCCCCCATCCGCATTCCCCCAGCGCGGGGGGGACCCGCATAGGGGCTCCCCCCGCCTGGAGGGCTTCCGCCCATGCCCCCTCCGGGGGAACCCCTCCCTGGAATATTAGAGCTGCCAGATTGCGGACTAGAGCCGCTAGCAGGGGAATTAAAGCCGCTCATATGGGGATTAAAGCCCGCCTCTGGATTGAACCAGGCTTCACAGCTAGCAGACCTCCTGTGGCCCATCTTCTTCTTGACAGGCGTTCCCCCTGCCGCGCCCCCCCCTCCGCCACTTGCCCCTCCCCCTCCCCCTGCCCCTGCCCCGCCTCCCCCGACTCCGCTTGCCCCTCCCCCAGGTGCGCCCGCCAGCCACCCGGGGCTTGGGCGCACAGAGTGCCCTCCTGAAGGCGCAGCTCCCCCTCCCCCCATTCCCCCCGCATACCCCCCTGCGCCTGCTGCGGAGCCCCTCTGCGCGCCTTGGGAAGATATTTGCCCCCCTTGCCTGCTGCGCAAGGGGCTCCCATAGGCGGACACCCCCCGTCCCCCTGCTGCTCCCCCTGTCGCTCCGCCTGCTGCGCCTGCGCCGCCCAGATAGGGCAGCACAGGGCTCTTAGGGGGGGTTTTCACAGAGCGCCTGAGGTCTAACGGGCCGCCGTCATAAGAGCGTGAATTCCGCCTGACAGTGGGTATTCCCAAGGGTGGCAGCGGCTGCTGCAATGGCTGCGCGGCCTGCTGCTGCTGCTGGTCGTGGCGGGGAGGGGAGTGCTGCTGGGTTCCTTGCTGCACCTGCTGCTGCTGCTGCTGTGATTGCTGCTGCTGCTGCCGCTCCTTATCACTGCTGGCGCGGGCCTGTCGCCTATCCCAAATGGCCGCTCCCTCTACCACTCCCCCGCCGTATTCCCCACTTGTTCCCCCTCCTGCTCCCCCAACTGCTCCCCCTCCGCTGCTGCGCACCCGCCTCCCCTGCACATCCTCCGCCTCCCCGTCGTACTCATCGTCAGCGGGGCTTCTTACGCCACCCCGCGATCTCTCCCCGTAACTCCCGCCCCTTTTCTCCCCCACGCTCCCCTCGATATTCCCCATGGCGGAAACCTTCCGCCCCCCCCTTCTCACGCCGCTCCGCGGCCCTACTGCTCTGCCCGTTCCGCTTGCGTCCCCCCCACCCGCGCCCACAATCGCCCCTTCGCGCCGGCCTTTCTCCTCGGGGCTGGCGTTCCGTGGTGCGCTGCCCGGCCTTCCTGACGGACCGTCAGAATGATTGCTGACGGCTGACGGTCGCGGTTGGGGACTGACTTGCCGGCGGTTCTCTCCTGCTATGCCGCCCCCTCCCACGACGCCTCCTGGTCCGCCGCTTTGGCTCCGCCTATGCCCGTGCTTAAACGCGCCGATTATTCCAGGCCCCTCCCCCTCACGTCTCGTCTTGTTCCCCTCCGGGATCGCGTGTTTGGGAACTGGGCTCCAACCTGCCGGACCGTCAGTCTGCTCACTGCTAGCCGTCGCTGGCCGGTTGCTTCGACCGGTCGGTCCAGCTCCCGCAGCGAGCGGCCATTCTTGCGGTTTACTACGCGGGGGATGCGCTTGCGGGGGCTGCTTGCCTCTCGAGCCGCTGGCTTTAATTGCCTCTGGCGCGCCGCGATACGCGACGGCGTTCGTTACAGGGGGGCCTTGCAACTCGTCGGTCGCGTCGGCAGCGGAAAACGCGGCGATGACAAACTCCTCAGAGCGGATTCGACGGTGACGAGCCGCCATGGGCTTAGGAGGCTTGCTACCCTCGACCGGGTTCTTTGATTGTGAATAAGCATACCCGCCAGCAGCGCCACTAATACCGCCGAAGCTGCTACTACCGGATAAGCCGTAGACCGCGTTGTTGTTGATGCTGTTATGCGTACTGTTAGCCGTAACATTGCCGTAACCACTATTGTAACCAGCCGAGGTGATGTCGCTGTTACCATCACTGTAGCCGGAGTTACTGTTTCCACCTCCACCCGCGCGCCTGACGCCGCTGTTTACGCTCCTGCTAGGACTGCCGCTGCTGTGGTTGTTGTAACCGTCGATGCTGCTGATGCGGTTGTTGTAGCCGTCGATGCTGCTGGTTTTACTGGTAGAGGTTTCGCCGCTTAATTTAGGGGATCCAGGATAAGACGTTTTTAGCGGCAGATGCTGATTGGTTGATTGAGAACGTCTAACCTCCTTTCCAGCACTATGATTAAGCTCCGCATATGGCGGCGATTTCTGCGGTGAATATTGTCGTCCCGAACGAGGCTGCGTACTGTACGCGTTATGGGTGTATCCGTCAGAAGGCTGTTGTCGAGCGTGTTTCATTTCGTCCGGAGAATGCTGCGGGTCTGGCGAATAATCAGGAGACGGAATGACTCCCGAATGCCGACGGCGATGACGGATAGGAGCCTCCGCAACTTCATTTTCTATAATAGCATCTTCGCTTTCACCTCCGACACGAGAACTCGCGCCAGACTGATGGCTGTAAGTTACGGCCTGAAGCCGAGTCCCAGATGCTTGAGTCAGATTCGTCGGGTCGAACTGGAAACTGTCGGACTGGCTTCGTCGATGACGTGGCTTGACAGGCCGAGGAGGAACAGGCGACACCGCACGAGACACGCGCTCCTGTTGTTCCGAGACATCAGGACTGTTCATTTGCGCGACGCGATGTCCCGGCTCCCGAGAATGGTGCGAGCGGGGTCGAGATTCAACAAGGGTGACGTCCATTGTCAGTTGCAAAATATGGAAATGGTTTTGAAATCGGGAGTAATAAGCAGGTGCGATTACCTGCTACTAAGAAACTACCGTAAAACAAGTCGAGCAGATGGTAGTTTCCAAGTCTACTCGACCTGCAGGAATAGTCCGAGAGATCATATGGAAGGAGAGTAGTTGTGAGTGTGTGTCAGAGGTGGAACTAAGAGAGTAGGCTCCTACATAGAAAAGGCAGAAATCGAGGTTCTGTGACAGAAAGACAAAGTTTTCTGGGCTGTGCTGGTTCAGCGCAAAATCGAGGTCGCACTGACCGTGCAGATCGAGATACTGGACGGCGAGGATCACTCCGTGCGTCTAAAAGGGTGCACGAGTTGCGGGTTGAGCCAGATTTGGAGCCGGTAACCACGGTCGTCGAAACCGATATCCCCTTGACGACGTTCGCCGATGCAGCAGAAGTTGCGCTTTTGGCGAAAGGCAACTTGTGTTCCACGACGAGCTGAGTTGGCTTCACTCGGGGCTCACAGCACCGTACGAGACCCTCACACAACTCACTAAAACCATCTGTTTTTCTGCAATCGACTCGCCCAATTGGAGAGGAGCATACAGTTTCATAGCACGAGGTCAATTTATTAGAGAAGTAGGGCCGCCACTTGCTTGCGGTGGATTTCGCCAACCCAAAGCGATCACTCAATCGAAGCGCTTGTTCCTCTTCAACAGTCTGCCACAACTTAGAGTGAGGTTAGAAGAGTGAACAGAATAAAATTTTGCACGGGCAAGATCAGAAACGTGTTGGCAACCAGCCTTGTGTTGCATATTGGCCTGGTTGTACAGAACTTTCAACACAATAAGGACGTGTCCAGTGCGTACGTTTACAGGTACTATACCGTCCATTCGTCGAGGTAAGAAAAGATATCAGAAGGTGCACAGCGGTTTTCAAATTGCACAGTTTTGAACCTCGACGCACTACAGATTACTGCACTGGATGAACTGTAATGTACGGATGTGTGAGCGCTGGACCCGTCCTAACGGCTTGTTTTTGGGTTGCGAAGCAACCCTTTACGATCGATTTTGCCAGATTTTATTTTCATGTTTATCATTTTTAATAGAACATGAAAATAAAATCCGTAAACTACAGTACCCTTCCCACACCGTGTGCATGTTGAAGAATTTTAAATGTTGTTCACAATATATTAAACCATATGTTTTTCTGGTCAGTGGTTTGGTGAATATATGCTGTACTGTTATATATTAGTATGTGTTACTATTAAATGGTGCTGTGGTAATGATAAATAGATGCATGATGCATAAATAATGCTATATGATGCATTATGTTTAATAGTATGATGTCATGAATCATGATGCACATGCATGCACACAATAAAATGCGTGACAGTTAACGACCCAAAAACTAAGCTACCGCCATCCCCTGCCTAGCATGGGGGGGAGGTCAATAGCATAGATTTTGAATAATCAACAATCACATGAAACAACACAATCTGTGAAATCTAAAAAAGAAGTCAACTCTATCAAATCCAGTTCGAAGTGGTCGCACACGAGTCACTGAGTGCGCCAATGAACCTTATGTGAAATGATAGACCTGAGCTTTCTTTTTAAAAATCACAGACATGCATTATTATTGCAATGGATATGGAGATTTATACACCGAGAACACCCACGCACACACATGAACATACACACACATACAGACACATACAAACACATGCACATTCAAACAAACACAAAAGCTCAATGCACAAGCTTTACAAACAATAAAACAGAAGCAAATGAAATTTACCAATACAATACGATCCTACAGGTCACCGTCATCACTGTTATCTTTCCACTTCAGAATTTGACTAGACTGCCTCAAGAAAACAGCAAAGCCTCTGAGGAGTACAACATAGAAAAAAAAGGGGAGGGGGGGGGACAGAAGGGACGAATGAGGAGGGATTTTAGTGTCGCAAAAAAAGGTGCGACAAGTTGCACATCAAACACAGCAGAAAACAGAAGCATAATGAGGAAGCAGAAAACGGAAGCATCACACTGAAGGAGTAAACAGAAAAAAAAGGAGGAAGGAGGGAAATAAGTATGATTCACCAAACTGAAAGCGGAATAAAAACCAGCAAAAAGAAGTGGAAATAAACAAAAGGGAAGACAAGATACAAGTAGGAATCGAGATAGGAAAAGAGGACGGACGAAAACAAAGGAATGACTGAAAAAGAGAGAACGAAAGAGAGAGAACGAGAGAGAGAGAACGAGAGAGAGAGAACGAGAGAGAGAACGAGTGAGAGAGAGAGAGAGAGAACGAGAGAAAGAGAACGAGAGAGAGAGAGAGAGAACGAGAGAGAGAGAGAACGCGAGAGGGAGAACGAGAGAGAGAGAACGAGAGAGAGGGAGAACGAGAGAGAGAGAGAGAGAGAAAACGAGAGAACGCGGGAGAACGAGAGAACGAGAGAGAGAGAGAACAAGAGAGAGAGAACGAACAAGAGAAAGAGATGGAGAAAGAAAACGAGAGAGAACGAGAGAGAGAACGAGAGAGAGAGAACGATAGAGAGAGAACGGGAGAGAGAGAACGGGAGAGAGAGAACGAGCGAGAGAGAACGGGAGAGAGAGAACGGGAGAGAGAGAGAACGAGCGAGAGAGAACGGGAGAGAGAGAACGGGAGAGAGAGAACGGGAGAGAGAGAAACGGGAGAGAGAGAACGAGCGAGAGAGAACGAAATGGACTGAACGTGCAACCTATTACAATCTTTATGTACAACCTAAGACGAGGTTGAAAAAAAAAAAAGAACTAAAACATGCAAATATGAAGAAAAGGCAACCGACGAAAGGAAAGTTGAAGGATGAAGAATAGAAGAAACAGATGCAAGCTTATGCAGGAAGAAACGAAATCTTACAAAGGGCCTAGAACCTACGTTTAAACAACTAAGTCTAGCTAATACTCATCCATTTACACAGTAAGGATACGGATTGACTAAATGTTACTCTATCTAATAGGCATCTAACTTAGTTGGAGCTAGAGCTGAGGGATCTTCTTACCTAAGTTGCAGTCAGAGTAGGTGGAGAAGCTGGTAGAGCGTGACCAGCGAGAAGGAGAAGCGGGAGAAAAAAGGGACGAACAAACCTTAAGGTAGTCTCAGATTCGTCGCAAAAGTAACATTCTGTTCAAATCAGCTATTCGAAATGGACATTAGCGCTATCGTAGTCGTATAAGATTGAACGTAGAATCGAAAGGTTTCCAGATCGATTCCTTCTGGTGTGATGCTTTTGATCTTTGCCTAGCGACAAGAAGTACTACTTCGTGTCATACTACAGCATAATGTAAATTGTAAGTTCTACAAATTTACCGTAATCCCCCGCAGAGTACACTCCCCAAAAGGGGGGTATTTATCAGTACACCCTAGGGTGTACTATGCGGGGGATTACGGTATGTAATTATGCAAAACGCTTCGCAACCCTAAGACGATTTCGTCGCCTCTTGTTTTATTTATATGCAGTTATTGGGTTGCGTAGCAACCCTTTATATTTGGTTTCACATTTTGGGGATATCATTCAAAGAGTGTTATTTACGCACTTTTTGGAGCACTCGTTTGAATGTTTTGAAACTGTGTTCAAACGGATGCCTCAAAGAGTGGATAAAAAAACACTCTTGAATGAGATCCCCAAAACATGTAAGCACGTACGTATCATGTTGAAACCATGAACTTGCTCGACCGTCACAACCTCGTCGATAAATACGGCGGATTGTACGGCCGGACATAACATTCTGGCATCGACATGAACGAATGCAATTGTACAAATGAACAACAAGGTATGAGGTGGAGTGAATGCTTCAAAATGAATGTTAAAATGCATCATGCAGCAACAGAGGTTGATGGGGTCGTTGAAACAGCGAAAACACGCTGCCCCAAAGACGATTAACAACCTCTAATTGCATACATAACACATACTAACACCACACTTTGAAACACACATCCCACAAACACGAATGCAAACGCGCGTAAAACCCCACAGTGAAACAAACACAATGACAACACATAA